AACCCGAATATTCGCAATAACCCGGTTCCGCACGGCCATGTAAACACTGCCAAAAACCCGGATATGCTCATAACTGGGTTTTTAAAAACCCGGTTACTACACCTGGGGTAACCCTTTTCTAACCCGAATGTTTGGTAGTGTAAACGCATATCGGGATATCCCCATCAAAGCGTGTGTTCTGCGCATGCTCTGTTCGCAAGGAATCTTGGTCCTTTGAGTAGCGAGACGTCTTGTATGCGCCAGAACACCGGAAGTAAACAACAAGTTGGGAGCAACATGGCGAGTCGCGGCACAGCACCACACTTTTGGAGTGACGAGGAAACCAAAGCGCAAACAAACGCGGTCTCTATCTCTTCTGAACTGGGAAACATGTTGTTTTCACGGATACCGGAACAAGAAGAACCGGAAAAGATGCATATTGCATCTGGACGTAGTCCATACGTCCTGACGCTACTCCAACGTCCGCATTTATATCGGCTTATGCAAGTTAGGGGTAACTCTTTCGATTTATGTTTGTAAACGGGTTATTCTGATCAACTCAGAAACCCGAATACCGACCTTAACCCGATCATAACCCGGATATTGGCTGCATGTAAACGTAGTCAATCCTCTCTCTCCCATTCAATAGAACTGATAATCTCTTTTTCAAAAGTTTCAGATTACTCTTTAACCCTTTGATGCATAATGGTCACTACAGTGGACAGGTACTCAAAATTGTTATTTCTTTATTTTTGCTATTAAGCACAGCTGTTGAAGACTTTATTGCATGTGAGCCCCTCCATTTGAGCTTCAGCAAGTCAAGCCAACATATTTCATGCTCAGAATGCACGCTGTCCACTGAGATGGACATGTAATAAATGATTTGTAAATTAACAAAATGTTACAAAAACTATTTGTTGAAATTTGTTTCATTCACACCTAAAGATTAATGAAAAAAATTGTTTAAAAAATCATGGTTGAAGATTTCATAATTCATGCATCAGAGGGATAAACTGGTTAAAACCCACAGTTATACCAATTAATTTCTCCTTTGTCAATTTACTTAATACACAATTGGAGTCAGGGAATATCACATACCTGGGAATTAATGTCTCTCCCAAGTTGTCAGATCTAACCAAACTAAACTACATCCCACTTTTAAAGATAGTGGAAGATGATCTTGCAAGATGGAAATCCTTACCGATATCACTCATGGGGAGAGTTGCTACAATTAAAATGATGGTCTTACCCAGAATAAATTACTTATTTTCAATTATCCCAAACAAACCACCAGCTGACTGGTTGAGATCTCTGGACTCCTCAATTACTAAATTCCTTTGGCAGGATAAACCTCCACGAATTAGTTTAAAAATGCTTCAGAAGACCAAAGACAGAGGAGGACTGGATCTACCCAACTTTTATTTTTATTTCTTAGCCAACAGGCTGCAATATACCAAGATGGTTGCAAGATAACCCTCTAGATGAGTCCTGGTTAGATATAGAACAGACACAATATAGATATAGACAGAACAGATACATAACAGATATATATATATATATATATATATATATATATATATATATATATATATATATATATATATATATATAGATAGATAGATAGATAGATAGATAGATAGATAGATAGATATACACACCCCTATATATATATATATATATATATATATATATATATATATATATATATATATATATATACACACACACACCCACACACCCCTTTTTATGATGAAGGTAATGGTGGGCTCCCGCTTGAGGTCCTGGGTGATGGTGGTGCTCAGGAAGTGACATGAGTTTACCATCATGATGGGAGTGTCAGACAGGGTTATGGGGGGCTGTGTGCTTCTTAAAGTCCACAGCAACCTCCGCTGTCTTCTGGGTGTTCAGCACCAGGTTGTTGTGGCTGCACCAGGACACCAACCATTCCTCCTTCTGTAGGCAGACTCATCCACGTCAGAGACGAGTCCGATGACGGTGGTGTCGTCTGCAAACTTGATAAGCTTGACAGACTCATGGTTGGAGGTGCAGCTGTTGGTGTACAGAGAGAAGATGGGGGGGGGGCTCAGGGGAACCGGTGCTGATGGTCTGCAGGCACAAGACATTTTTCCCCAGCCTGACTTGTTGCTTTCTGTCCATCAAGAATCCAGAGATCCACCTGCAGATGGGGCCAGGCCCGCTCATCTGGGACAGTTTGTCTTGGAGTAAGTCTGGGAAGATTGTGTTGAAGGCAGAGCTGAAGTCCACGAAAAGGATCCTGGCATAGGTACCCAGGGAGTCCAGATGCTGCAGGATGAAGTGTAGAGCCATGCTGATGGCATCATCTACAGATCTGTTGGCTCTGTAGGCAAACTGCAGGGGGTCCAGGAGGAGGGCTGTGAGGGTCTTGAGGTGGGGAAGAACCAGGTGCTCAAATGACTTCATGATCACAGATGTCAGAGCCACAGGTCTGTGGTCATTGAGTCCAGTGGTCTTTGGTTTCTTGAGGACAGGGACTATGGTGGAAATCTTGAAGAAGGCGGGAACATTAGACACCTCTATTGAGGAGTTGAAAATGCCCATAAACACTGGGGTCAGCTCTTCAGCACAGTGCAGTGCATTGCTGAAGAATGGCAGGAGGTACACCATCAAGGTCAAGGGTTTTTTGTGTGTTTAGAGTCTTGAGTTGCTTTCTGAAATATGCCTCGAGTGTAGAAGGTTGTGGTGAAGGTGTGTGATGTAGGGTCCTCATTGGTATGGGGTAAGGAGGAGGATCTTGTGGCTGAGTTCTACAGTGATTATGGTAGCTCAGGAGAGGGGATATGAATGACCTTCATGATACTGTTATTGGAGGTGTGAGACGTGCCTGGGGCCCAAAATTAAAACGTATTAATTGAACAACTAAATTGTGACTAAAAATAAAAATAATTTCATTCAAAAGACTAATGTCCCTTTCACATCTGGCCTAGTTTGGTTTGGGCTAGGTGGGGTTGGATTTGTTCACACCACTTCTCAGGAAAGTGGTGTAACGTGAGGAAGTGTGGGTTTTCTGTCACAAAGGTGGTGTTGGACTCAGCTGGGTCAAAGCTGGGTCGTTGAGAACTTTCACCCACAGATTAAGACCTGAACGCCAGTGAGTCTGGGAGGAAACCATAACATCTGCCACCTGCAGCTTCGTGCCAGAAGATGTTGTTCCCATAAATGTAGTCATAACAAGTCTTAAAACTTTCTTTTCTTGATTTTAATGTTAAAGAATAACCATTATCATTTTGCTCATTATAAATGTGTTTTAATCAAATGAATGATTCTTATGCTTTGGGTAATTATAATGGATTAATGAATCCATTCTTAAATAATGTTTGAGGATGTTTGTTGGCGACCTTCACACACACTCAAGCACACACCCACACACAGATTCTCACAGTAAACTCCAAAACACATTTGCTGACGCACACGTTTGCTTTGAGAAGAGAAAGGCTTTTGGTAAGTTTCAGTCTTATGGTGGCAGTTCGTGCTTGACAACGAAAGAGAGAGGACCTGAAGAAACTGAAGGGGGGCAGAGCCGGTTGGCTCGTTTCTCCCCCCTCTCACGCTGTTCCTGTCAGCCAGACAGAATAGCTGAATCGCAACTTCTAACGCAGACTCATACAGAGTCTTTGATTTCTGAGTGAATTAACTTAAGAAAGCGCATCGACAAAACGCTTTACCATCAATGTGTACCGAGGGCAACTCTGGACCGGTTCCGTTCGACACCTACGTCTCCCCTGTCAGCCGCTGGTGTCATCTGGATGAACCATCACCATCCTCCACGGCCCGGATCCGAAAGAGGGTCCACAAGAGTTCGGTGAGACAGAACACGGTGTTTAGCGTTTGATGCAGTTCTCTGATAAGACCTAAGTTCATCCAAACCATCACTTCACTCAGACACCTGTTTCTTCCTGAAGCAAAATCAGACTCACACAAGCATTCATATCACAACATTCTCAATCTTCATAAATTCACCACAAGGTCTATTTGATCATATCAGCTGTTAAAGATTGTCCCACAAGTTGCCAATGTTGATTGTTATTCCCATGTTTGTCAATTTCAAAATCATTAGTCTAGTTTGAAGAATTAAAACTTTTAATTTCCAAACTTGTTTGTTCATTGAACTGAAACACAGAAACACAGATATTATCGTCAGTTTATCGATGAAAACAACCTTTGAGTCTTCTTAACAATATAACATTTGGTTATTGATTTATTAAAAATTAATATTCCGAATTAATACGTAGCATGGTTCCTCTTTCATAAAAGAGCCTAAAACCACAATGCTACAGTGGAAATCTCAGAGCACATGGGTGGGACAGAAGACATGCAGACAGTTTGTGGTATAAGTTAGTAAACAACGGTGGCCATAAGCAGTGTTGCTTTTGGATACTCTAACTGATATTACATTCAGACTGCTGTTTGTCCTCGTGCTGTGCAGCTCAAGCGCGGTTTGTGTGTGTGTGTGTGTGTGTGTGTGTGTGTGTGTGTGTGTGTGTGCGTGCGTGCGTGCGTGCGTGCGTGCGTGCGTGTGTGTGTGTGTGTGTGTGTGTGTGTGTGTGTGTGTGTGTGCTCCTCACAGCACATCTCAGAAAGAGAGGGTTTCAGTCAGAGGAGAAGTTTACTCCACAGTATCCAACAAAATAATGAACTGCACACCAACCGGATGCTTCCCCTAATGGTAGGTGTGAATTTGAGCCGGCCAGTTAGCATTGAGTGTGTTGGGTCAGTTCAACCAGAAGCAGACCACCAGGGAAAGAGGTCTGAAAAAATAACTGGTTGAGATGTGAACACAAACACAAAAAGTCCCTAACTGGGCAAGATCAGGCTAGGTCAGATGTGATAGACCTAAAAAACGAAAACTAAAAATTTTTTTTTTGTCAAAATTAACACTCCCCCACTGAGAATAAATGAAGGGATTTTCTATTCTTAACAAAATCAGCATCATTTTTTCAGAGTATGATGAACTCCATGTGCTAATAAAATTTCACACTCACCAGGTTGGGTAGGGCAATCATCATAAATGTGTTTCGTGGCCAGATGTGCAGGTAATTAGGCTTCATGGCAAACTAGAAATCAGAACAAAGGAAACAACTAAAATTAAATGAACATGAATTAAAATCGTTAACATCCTTCTTGGTGGAGCAGTGAGTTTCAATGTTGTCTATGGCGGCAAAAAAGTTGCATTTTTTAATCCCAGCTGCAGCCTTTTTGTATGGAGTAATGCCTGATTTATACTTCTCCTTCTGCATCTTCCATGATGTACTAACGCAAGGGCTCTGCAGCAGGCCAGAAGTCTGCAGATGCATGCTTAATTTCTTTAATGTCCATCAAAAGCTGTGAAAATCTGCCATCCCCCTCAAACAATTAAAATGTGTGACAAAAATATCTAGCGACAGAAAAATGGATGGATGGCATTCCCCAGGCAACAGAGAATTCTGAAAGGAAAACGTCTGTACCAATGTGTGTTTGCAAATCTACACTGTAGCTGATGGAAACGTATAAATGAGGCTTTAGCTTGTTCCCTCCAAACATTCCTATGCTGTCCTCCCACAGACCAAAAACTTGCATGTCAGGTTAACTGGAGGCTCTGAATTGTCCCTGTGTGTGACTGGTTATTTGTCTGTGTCTCTATGATGGACAGACGGATGGATGGAAAAACTAGCTTTGTTACCGCCATAAGGATGACTGACCTCTCCATTGTTGGGTGGCATCGTGAGCTCCATGTAGCCATGAGGGATGTACGTCTGGCTGTAGTTGAATCGAGTGCGACGGAGGAACTGCTTTCTTACTGCAGAGAAAGCTCCATCACAGCCTACAATCAGATCTGCCTGAACCTGAGCCTTGGATCCGTCCAACCTTCAAAAATGGCAAGTTCTTTTCAGTTAATAAAAATCATCCAACTTGATTTTTGTTAAACATCTAACAGATTTGTGCTTTTGACTATTTACATGCTTTTGGTTTGATCGATTACCAACTGCAACAGTTTTGCATGAGCATGCAGAACCAGAGTCCGAAAGTCTCAGTAACCATCTCCCTTCATTCTACATGGTCAAAACTTTCCCTGAACTACATCCTTAATGCTATTATAGTTTTCACTTGTTTAATCTAAATGAACCATGACGAGTGAGGAATGTAGTATCTACTTCAGTTTTATTTATTCTTCACTGTAGCGGCCAGCTGAGCAGCTGCTGGTAATAACCCTTTATTGGCCCTCAAGATTTGTAGAAAAGGCCACACCCTTCCAGGAATAGGGTAAAAAGGTTTGAGTAAACTTAATTTCTTTGTAGAAGTTGAAGACCAAACTGTTTAGCGTATTGAAATTATGTTTTTGGTCTAAATTCACCTCAGCTGCGCATTTTCCACTGCATCTCCATGTAAGTCATTTTATTTATTTTTTTGTTTTGTTTGGATAATGTTTTGTTTGACACTCTGTAATCATTTGTAGTGATGGGTAGATCAGGCCTCCAGAAGCGTTTCGGCAAATTACCCAAAATGTGTCGATTCTGTGTCCACATTGTGTCACTGTCTACTGAAACCAGCTAGATCATAATGATTACAGGCCAGACTCACTACTTTAGACAAAAAGAAAACAATATTTTATATAGCATATCTATCAAGACAAAAATCATGAGGCGCTTCACAAAAAAAATTTATTGTGAAAAAGATTTTAAAAATTACATATGTTTAAAATGATGTCACGTACCAGTGGTCAGTGTTTCACCAACAAATTGACCAAAAGTTAACCTTTTACTATCTATAAAGTTAACCTTTTTTCTATATACAGTGGGGCAAAAAAGTATTGTCAGCCACCGATTGTGCAAGTTCTCCCACTTAAAATGATGACAGAGGTCAGTAATTTACATCATAGGTACACTTCAACTGTGAGACAGAATGTGAAAAAAAATCCATGAATTCACATGGCAGGATTTTCAAAGAATTTATTTGTAAATCAGGGTGGAAAATAAGTATTTGGTGACTTCAAACAAGAAAATCTCTGGCTCTCACAGACCTGTAACGTCTTCTTTAAGAAGCTTTTCTGTCCTCCACTCGTTACCTGTATTAATGGCACCTGTTTGAACTCATTATCTGTATAAAAAACACCTGTCCACAGCCTCAAACAGTCAGACTCCAAACTCCACTATGGCCAAGACCAAAGAGCTTTCGAAGGACACCAGGAAAAGAATTGTAGACCTGCACCAGACTGGGAAGGGTGAATCTACAATAGGCAAGCAGCTTGGTGTGAAAAAATCAACTGTGGGAGCAATTATCAGAAAATGGAAGACATACAAGACCACTGATAATCTCCCTCGATCTGGGGCTCCACGCAAGATCTCATCCCGTGGGGTCAAAATGATCATGAGAACGGTGAGCAAGAATCCCAGAACCACACGGGGGGACCTGGTGAATGACCTGCAGAGAGCTGGGACCACAGTAATAAAGGCCACGATCAGTAACACACTACAACGGCAGGGAATCAAATCCTGCAGTGCCAGACGTGTTCCGCTGCTGAAGCCAGTGCATGTCCAGGCCCGTCTGAAGTTTGCCAGAGAGCACATGGATGATACAGCAGAGGATTGGGAGAATGTCATGTGGTCAGATGAAACCAAAGTAGAACTTTTTGGTATAAACTCAACTCGTCGTGTTTGGAGGAAGAAGAATACTGAGTTGCATCCCAAGAACACCATACCTACTGTGAAGCATGGGGGTGGGAACATCATGCTTTGGGGCTGTTTTTCTGCTAAGGGGACAGGACGACTGATCCATGTCAAGGACAGAATGAATGGGGCCGTGTATCGTGAGATTCTGAGCCAAAACCTCCTTCCATCAGTGAGAGCTTTGAAGATGAAACGCGCTGGGTCTTCCAACACGACAATGATCCCAAACACACCGCCCGGGCAACAAAGGAGTGGCTCCGTAAGAAGCATTTGAAAGTCCTGGAGTGGCCTAGCCAGTCTCCAGACCTCAACCCCATAGAAAATCTGTGGAGGGAGTTGAAAGTCCGTGTTGTTCGGCGACAGCCCCAAAACATCACTGCTTGAGAAGATCTGCATGGAGGAATGGGCCAAAATACCAGCTACTTTGTGTGAATTCATGGATTTTTTTTCACATTCTGTCTCTCACAGTTGAAGTGTACCTATGATGAAAATTACTGACCTCTGTCATCATTTTAAGTGGGAGAACTTGCACAATCGTTGGCTGACTGAATACTTTTTTGCCCCACTGTATATATGTGTGTGTGTGTGTGTGTGTGTGTAAAGATGGCGGCGCCAGCAATGGGCACGGCGACACATCTCTCAGCCTTCAGATTCTTGCTGCTTTTATATGTTCTGAATGTGTTTTTGGCGTCTTTTCATAGTGTTTCTGGCCTTCTCATTTATGATCACCAGACACTTTTTGAAATCAAGGAATCCTACGAGCTTTTTTGGAATAAATTTTTACTGGGAGGATGCTCATCAAACCTCCCTCCTCCACCTGTCATCTCAGCCGCTCCCACCTCTCCTCCTTTGGTCACAGGCTCTCTCTGGCGGAGGCCTCGGAAGAGAGGACGGCGCTCAGGTGTGCTTGTCAGAATTAGAGCTCATCAGTGGTCATGCGGAGGATTGTCCGGAAAATTAAGCCGTCGATGGATCCAGCCGATCTTCCTAGGAGACCAGGCATCACCGTCGTATCAGATGACGGGAGTTTTTCGGCCGAGGAAACCGCGTCACGGGAGACGTGGTGTGATCTTTTCGAATCTCCGCTCCTTTCCCAGATTCCAAGCAGATGCAAAGGGTTCTACAATTAAGATGTGCCTTCTCAATTCCAGATCCCTGGTAAATAAAACTTTTATTCTAAACAACTTTTTTTTTTAAAGCATCAGCTGGGAATCATGTTCTTGTGGGAAACGTGGATCCAGGGAGTCTGTGCCACTTTCTGAACTTTTTCCTCCAAACTGCTCTTCTTTGAATACCCCTTGGACTTCGGGGAGGGGTGGAGGGTTGGCTTCAGTTTACAGGAACTGTTTTCATTGTCACAAACTACCTCAACCTAGTACCTTCTGTACTTTTGAACTCCAACTCTTTGAGCTTCGGCTGCCTCTGACAGTGCTTTGTGCCCTTATCTACCGCCCTCCCAAAATGAACAATAACTTTATTAGAGTTCTCTGATTTTGTAGCCAGAGATGCTTTCAAGTATGTTTTTGATTGTTGGCGATTTTAATATTCATTTATGTTGTGAGGCCAAACCCTTGGTTAAGGAGTTTTTAAAGATCATTGACTCATTTAACTTAGTTCAGTGGGTTACTGGTCCAACTCATGAAAAAGGTCATATGCTGGATTTAGTTTTGTCGCATGGTTTAGGTGTAAACATTACAAACATTCTCGATCAGGGTATTTCTGAGCATTTTCCAGCCCATTTTACATTGGAATTACATGGCTCAGTGGAGAGAACTGTAATGCAAGGACAGAGAAGATTTTTTAATGGCGTGACTGTCTCTTATTTTTCTGCTGAATTCTCGGCTGTTGATTTTATGGACTCAACTTCTGTCAACGACTTAGATGATTTTTTTAAATTCTACTTGCTTACACATCCTTGATAATGTGGCTCCCATGAAAGCTGTGCGGTATAATAAAAAAAAAAAAATCTGGAGCCATGGCTGAATGAAACCACACGTGCCTGTAGACGGGAGTGCAGGCGTGCTGAAAGGAAGTGGAAGAAGGACAAGCTATATGTGTCTCTACTTGCACTGCGAGACTGTCTGACTGTTTGTCAGAACTGTGTGAAACAGGCAAAATCTGAGTTCATGTGCAACCTTGTTTCCCCCAATAGTCACAGACCACAGGTTTTGTTTAGCGCTTTTAACAGTATTGTGAACCCCAGCACTGGAAGTAGTTGTATACCTTCTCAGGAATTATGTGACCGCTTTTTGTCCTTTTTTGTCAAAAAGATTTCACAGATTAGATCTTCCATTTTAACATCCTCTATCGTAAATCCAAGTTCTTATCCAGATTGTTTAACATCTTGGTATCATTTTCAACCTGTCTCCTTGGAGGAGTTATCAGATATTGTCCATCGTTTAAAACCTTCAGTCTGTCCACTTGATGTTATTCCACCTCGTATGTTTAAGCAGGCCTTTAACAGTGTTGCTTCAGCTGTGCACAGACTAATGAACTGTTCTCTTCTCTCAGGGTGTGTTCCGCTGTGTTTTAAACAGGCTATAGTGAATCCCCTTTTAAAGAAGCCAAGCCTGGACACAACTTGCCTATCTAATTACAGACCTATTTCCAAACTTAGTTTCTTATCAAAGGTTCTGGAGAAAGTTGTTCCTGCACAGCTACAGGATTATCTGTCCATACATCACATTTCAGACAAATTTCAGTCGGGGTTTAAAGCATGGCATAGCACTGAAAGTGCACTTCTATGAGTGGTGAATGATCACTGATTCTGGCAACTCAGCTGCTTTAATGCTGCTAGACTTATCTGCTGCTTTTGACACCATTGATCATGATATTCTGTTGTCTCGATTAGAGTCTTGTGTTGGTATAAGGGGCACAGTGCTTGATTGGTTTCGGTCTTATCTACAGGACAGGTCTTTTTCTGTGAACTTGGGAACTTTTACATCACCACCTGCACCTGTGACTTGTGGTGTTCCACAAGGTTCCATTTTAGGGCCAACACTTTTCTCACTGTATATTTTACCATTGTCCTCTATCTTCGCCAGACACATAATTACTTTTCATTGCTTTGCTGATGACCTTCAGATATATCTCCCACTCATCCCGGATTCAGCTGTTTCTTTAATGGCCTGCTTAGCTGATTTGAAGCAATGGATGTCAATTAATTTTATGAAATTGAATGACCTGAAGACAGAGATTTTA